CTCCGACGGAAATGCTAAATATAGGCCTATTGGAGAAAGGCCGAAATAAAACATGCCTATTAATGTATATTATTTTTGACACATTTCAAGTAAAACATGTTTCCCATGCTTAGTATAGTCGGTTTCAACTTATTATTATTAATGAGCTCAATCTTTTCTAAGCCAAAAAAAAAACCCCAAAAAACACCTTTGAATTAAATATGAGGCAATACCAAAATGAACTTTGTGTTGTGAAAGAATAACTATTTAAAAAAAAAAAAAGAAAAAAGAAGACCGACGCCGAAAGTACTGGCTGTTAGTAGCTGTGCACAGAATGGAACTATAGAGGGGGTACATCATTTATGAGGACTATAAACCGCACATATAAGCAGGGACCAAACCATGAATGACTTTACTGTATATGCAATGAGAAGAGTCTTAAAAATAACTCATATATAAATAAAATACATATAGGAGATACGGTGAAGATTCGGGCTTTTCCGAAGGAAAAACCCGCGGCGTTTTTCAACATGCATATAGGCCTTAAATGCCGTCCGAAGGACTCTTCGGAACATACCAATTCGTACTTTGACATGAACTGTGCATGCTCGTATCAAGTTTGATCGCCATATCAACAACATATATTAATCATAGGTTTAAGTCGATTGACATTGAATACCACTGAATACGTGCATGCGCAGTTCAAACCAGGAACAATTTGCTTATTCTAATTTGTGTTTCAGTGATGGATTTGAACCAGCACCAAGGCTGTAATAAGGATCTCCACGATTCAGAGCACACACAGTGGCTACCACCAGTTTAGCTGTTCCCTTCCCCGATATATACTGGTAGCCTAGGCCTACATGTTAATATGCCATTTCGCACAAAAATGAAATACTTAACACAAACGTTGTATTTTCTACAATTTTATTTAACAATAATCGAAGGTGAAATTTCAAAGCTGTTTAACTATTTTTATCGAAAATACACAGACATGACATTTTTTTATTTTTATTATTTTTTTAAGTGATGGATGCATACTCATTTAGCTTTCCTGAAAAAAAAACTTGATGAAATCTATTATTGTCGCTAAAACTCGCTAATATTTCACCACCAACATTGACAGTAATCAAAAAGATAAAATACTGAACATGTCACATTTACAATGAAAAAACAATTCAGGACGTGTTTTAAAATAGATTTACAAACTGATAATTTAATAAAGGATCAGACTTTGTATTGCATACTTTGCACCATGATAATATTTTTCCCAACAATTAGACCTACTGAAAAATACTAAAATTACAACGATTAATTAATCAATTGATAAAGTCACCTCTCACATTGCTTATGATACCGAATGTTATTTGATGATTACTAATTAAGACCTGCGTCTTGTAAATTCCAGAATACTGTATGTCAACATAACTGATATCATAATGTAAGCCTTAATTTCAATTCTAAATAACAAAACAAGTTCTAATAATCTCGAAAGCTCCAATGAGGGCAGTATAATAGAGACAGCAGAGTATATTGGCCTAAACGGCCGCCCATACAAAAAAGATCAGCCGAGTGTTTCTAGAGCTCCTCATCGGAGCTAAAAAATAAAAAAACCTTTTAAATATTCCCGTTCGTAATTTTTTTTTTATATAGGTGGTGTGCTTAACCGCGCCATTGGATAAGCGATTTTATTATTTAATAATAATGTTTTGTAATAACGTGTTATATTTGATATGTAACTGGCTTTCATGATACCATAGCTTAAATACAAATACCTTGAATTTTAAACCACTGTTTCTGTAGCTTTTTCAGATGAAATATAAAAAAAAAAAAAAAAAACGCAACTGGGACTGTATAGAGTTATAGGCAAATTAATTTGGACCAGTTGGACTAATGCCACCCGCGCCGTTGAAGAATACAGTCATCAAAACCTATGGAAGAATAAAACACGATTAGGCTACATTTGTCACGTGATATTCATTTACACAGGTGACCTACGTATTTTAACTTCTATGAACTATTATTAATTATTTCAACACCTAAAAATATTGCTGACAAAATTCATTAATCATAAAATATAAACTATACACTGTATACACATATACATTTTTATGTTTAGTTGAGTTTTTTATGGCATACACATCTTCTACTGTCGTTTCTCGTATTCATTCCATATATGGTTTGTTAGTTTCACATAAAAAGTGCGCATTACATGTGTGTATGTAAATTGAAACGTAACAGAAGAGGAATAAACGAACGAAAAACATCCTGCACTGAGAATCGAACCCAGGACCTTTCGCATACGGCGAACGCCATAACCATTTGACCACGAAGGCATTGTGGAGATTCAAGCGCCTGATACTATCTGAGTTTCTTTCATTTTTTAACGTGTCTGACGTCATGATTTTGATATAGCACTAATATCGCTCTCTTATACACATCTAGATGTGTATAAGAGAAAGACGCCTATAGGGACAACTTTCACGCCTTTGTTTTTTATGCATAATATAGCCAACATATCAGGCCGATGCGAAACTAATCTAATCATCTTTACTATGTATAAATTGCAATTAAATGAGCGCTCTTCGATGAAAAGTCTCTTTGGGATTATTTATGATTTTTAAAACCATCCAATTTACTCATAGTCTTAGCGAACATCCTTTGTTTTCTGTTTCGTTCAAACAGCTCTTTCCGGTTTTTTGGAACGCGTTGATGTTGCCTAGCCTATGACCTAGGCGGCCGTGCGCGAGTCGACGCATTAGGCATGCACCGTAATGATAATATCAGCAGTGTAGAGATAGCAAAAACGTCTGTTATACTTGGAAACAATGAGAATTTAATTAGTGAAGTAGGCATATTCTTTAGTCGCAAAATTTCTACAAAGAGCTTGAGCATTGCTATAGCTTCCGATTATATAGTTTAATACTAGCAATGCTACATAGGTTAACCCAAATACAAAACACATTATCGTCAAATAGCGGAGCTTAATAATCAATATAATTGGCTAATTATTATCCAATTGCATTCTACTTGAAAGTTTCTGTCTGTGAAAAAGTTTGAAAAGTATTGCCTTAATGTGAAGGTATACACTGGCAGATATGATATCAACATTGATTATGATGATAATATCCATGCATCATATGACTTTGTACATTAGCCCTATTATTACTGTTATTGTATCATTTTAACGCTATCGTTATACTCTATAATTATTAATTTCTACCGTTACAATTCTTCTAGTATTTTCATTTCAATGAGACCAACTTATTTCTATTTTGAAGATGATTGAAAAACTTCGAATCACGATGGCTTGCTTAACTTTGCGCGGATTTGTCTTACACTTTCATGCAATTAAAATTAAAAAAAAATATTACAGTAAAACCCCCCTCTTTTGGGACACCCCTATGAAGGGACACTTTTTCGGCCAAAAACGAGGGAAGTACCAGTATAGGCCTATCTTTGCATACCCCTATCCAATCCCTATTAAGCGGAGACTTCTTTTGTCCCGATGGTACCCTTAATAAGGATTCTTGACTTTATTTGGGGTGGAGGACATTGGGGTGACAAATGAAGGGGAGGGGCGATTTTTTTGGGGGGAGGGGTGAAGATGACCAGTAAAAGTATCGGTATGATACTCAAAAACATTTTTTTGGAGACAGGGAGTCGTCTGAATGGGAAAATAACTACCGTCTTAACTGTCCGTCTTAGATTCTTATATTAGGCCTAATGCCACTGGCTGTTGTTACGATTATGTGTTTCTATAGTGTAGCGGGTTTTCGTATTATTTTTGTTACCTTTTCCTTTATAAAAATGTTTAAGCCATGTATTATTACATAAAGTGGTATGGACGTAAAACATGTTTTACTTAAGAATTATATAACAATTGACATCCACATATATGTTTCTATAGTGTAGCGGGTATTCGTGTTATTTTTTTACATTTTTGCTTTATAAAAATTTAAGCCATGTATTATTACATAAAGTGGTATGGACGTAATACATGTTTTACTTAATTAATGAACCAGTGGTGACTCCAGAAATTTGCCGACGAGGGGTCCGAATTTTCGACAGCGGGGTCCAAACCAAGGAGCCGACTAGAGCCTCCGGGTCCCGGAAAAAAATCCTGGTATGGTTCAATGGGAGATGTTTTAAGGCTTAGTAATTGGTAATGAAAATAATGTCCTGGATGGGCCAATTAATATTTTGGCGTGGCATCGGACGACAAGGTCCAGCCCTGTCCGACGGGGTGGTGGTGACGGGATCCCCTCCATGCCTGCCGCTGGGGCCACCACTGATATGAAAGATCATCACATTCTACCACCATACTCGGCCAAAATAATTATATAATATATAGGGCCTATATACACATTATATATACCGACATAAATGCAACATAGGCCTGTGTCTACATTTAAAATAATACATTTATAATTATTGTGGCCAACTACTATATAGATACGCATTGAATATTAGGCCTATATGATATACGGTACATGATTTGCCAATAACATATCTATATACATATGTACATATTGTATATAAAAACATACATTGAAGATCATGCGTCTACTCTACTAATAAACTCATATAGTATATATATATATATATCTAGATGTGTATAAGAGACAGGTTTGTTAGTTTCAAATAAAAAATGTGTATAAGAGACAGCATTAATACAGGTATGTATGTTATGTCCTTTAAAATATAAAAACAATATATCACCATGGACAATATATTACATATAATATATATTATATAACACATGTAATATAATATATTATATAGGCATATATGTATATATATTATATATAATGTATGCATTATGTATGCATAACGTGTACATTGAATATGTCCGTTTTTATCACAAAATATACATATGTACCTGTCTCTTATACACATCTAGATGTGTATAAGAGACAGAAAGTGGTGTAATCAGTGCAATGAAACGGTTTCGATTTGTCTCGTATGCGCTTTAACTCGTGAATATCTGACGGCCCGGGTTTTCAAGATTGTACACATGCCCATATAGGTCTACATACATACATATTATGGTAGGTAAATGTATAAACCTGCAAGAAATATGTTTTCAAATATATGGGATCTACAATGAAATTACAATAAATAAAATTAAAATTATATAAACATAAATACATAGCACACAAATGAAATTTCTTCTAAAGACATGAGTTTGCATTAATGTTTATATGCGTATCCATGTATTCATTAGAATATTGACTTTCGTGTTTAAGTTTTTTTCTCTAACAAAAATGACACTGAAAAAAGCGTTCGTTTCTTTTTTTTTTCGAACTTATAACTAATTCTTTATGAAAACATCGAGCATTGTAATGGATATTGTGTTACAGCGTTCACATACATTCATCAGCAACCGTCGGTGGCAGCAGATAAAAGACAATCGCGAGTATCCAAATGAAATGGTCACTTGTTATTGCTTTCATCAAAAGTAAATGCTTTAAATAAACCACATTACTTAATGGGAAGTCCTTCGTGTTCCAAATACCGACCATTTCACTCGCTTTTTGATTATATACCCCATCTTGAAAAGTCCGTTGTAATGCTTCTAAATCGTTTAAATCCTATTTATATTTAAAACGTTTCCAAAGATTAACACAAGGGGCACACGACAATCGACATACTTGCGTACGAGTCTCACAACGTCACTATGCTACACAACGACATTTGGGGCACTTTGACAATTTCGCCGTATATTTTATGCGCCATTACAAGTCACTTTCTTAAGTATAGCTCGATGTTTTCCATCTGATGTCATAAGTCCTCCATGTTTTGACGTTTCCTTATGATTCGACCTCTAACCTTCTCCTTAATTACATCAAAACAAAAGTCGACCATTTGAACTATGGTGAGTAAACTAGCACCAACACACAATCCCATACTGCCGCCGATTTGAGCTGTAAAATAACGGGAGAAAGAATTGTAAAGAGGTTTAAAATATTCAAGAATTTTTACTTGGCCCATTTTGAATATACTGCAGCTTAAAAAATAAAAAAAATATATAATTACAAAAATCTAACGAAACAAAACACTCCTTTTAGTTATATACGTTATGTCTACTCCAACCAATCAATCAATCAATCAATCAATCAGTGAACCAAACAAATTAATCAATTAACGAACCAATACATCAATCAACCAACCAATTTGTTGTGTATCAATATAACGTCATAAATATATTTTAATGATTTTGCCAAGTTATTGCAGACCTATATAATATGGCTACATAATAATAGAAAATCATTATAATGGGTACAGATATCTGTGAGTGAATTATTTATATGCGTGCTGGTCCCTGGAAGGCTAAAACGATGATATACGTGGGTGATATCGAGGTGTTTATGTTTCTTACAAGTGAAGAACGAGTTCATGTATCTTTGTTTGATGCATTTAAGTCTTACTATCGGGCAGTCATTTGTATTATATCAAGAAGCGGAAGGGCAATATATTATCTGAAAAGGTTTTATTAGTTCTTAATATACAGAAGTCATTCATAAAGATATTTTTCCTTAAGCCTGTGTGATTTACTACTCTTAAATAAGTTAAAACCATTACGATTGGACTATCTTAGCATAGAACTAATTTATTAAAACATATATGGTAGGCTGTTCATAAAATGTTATCCTTTAGAGCATCGTCTACAGTATTTTCGTATTGATTAATGAGGGCGCACTCTAACCTGACGTTGGCAAAAATCCGAGTTATAGCCCGTATTGGGGATATTTTCCATCTTTCATTCGTGTGATGTGGCCAAAATATGACAGTTGTTTTACTTTTTGTGTGATGGTTAATTGACAATCAGTAACATCTTTGATATAGATGTTTTGCAGACGATCTCTCCTTGTGACTCTCAGAATTTTCCGTAGGCATGCCATACTCAAACATTTCCAGTCGATGTTCATGCTCTTTTAGCAAGGTCCAGGATTCCCCTCCCTACATGGCTATTGCGAGTACGATAACTCTATATAGTTCTAGTTTTGTTGGAGTTGAAATGTTCTTGGACCTCTAAATTGAATTTAGAATCCTCAAAACTCCTGATGCCAATCCGATTCTTCTGGTAATATCTTCTGTGCTTGAAGTATCTCCTGTTATAACTCCTTCAAGATACGTGAATTTTTTAACTTGTTCTAGCTTCTTTTCTTCCAGATAAAATGACATTTCAGGAGGCTGCCTACCAATGTTTTGCAATTTTTGAAGCGATTATGGTGAGGCCCATCTTCTTGCTAAATATATTATCCTGTCTAGGATTGAAGGTCTTGAGGGCTGTCCGCCAAAAGGGCAATATCATCCCCAAAACGCATGTTATTGATTTGAGTGCCTCCTATATCTATTCTAAGTGTTTCGTTCTATTGCTAATACTTTTTCATAAATAGATCTGTTGGAAAAGAAAGGAAAAGAAGGGAAAAAAGAAAAGAGGAATGGGAAGAAGAGGGAAAGAAAAAAAGATAAGGAAAGGGGAAGAAGAGGAGAGGAGAAGAGGAAAGAGAGAAAAAAGTTGTGGAAGTAAGGAAGGAAAAAAAGAAGAAAGAGAGAGGAGGAGGAGGGAGAGGGGAAGAAGAAAAAAAAAGAGAGGAAAAGGAAAGGAAAGGAGAGGGGGAGGGAAGAGAGAAATAAAATTATTATTATCGGTTTTTTTTTCTTTCTTCTATTCTTTTTTTCATTTATGTTTCTTTTCAGTCTATTCAGATTGTACAGACGACGGAGTATTCAAACACGAGAACTTTATTCAATTCCTTCTCTTGAACAATTTGGCGTTGCTATCAGGGGCGGATCCAGAGATGTCCAAAAAGGGGGGGGGGCGAAATTTGGGCCGATCGAGACAACAATGTCCTAGAGGGTCCGGGGGCATGTCCCCGCGAAAATTTTGTGTTCTAGACGCCCGAAAATAACATTTGAGGCGTTGTGGGCTATCATTTTTTTCTTTTTCTTTCTTTTTTTCTTTTTTTTTTACCCCCCAAAAAGGGGGGGCCGGGGCCGGGCCGCCCCCCCCTAAATCGGCCCCTGGCTATAAGAAGCAAACAAAAAACAAACCTTACAATAATTCAACACAATGTCATTTGCTATGCCTAATTACCAAAGCAGCTCATTAAACATTCTCTTTTAAAGTAATCGGCCTATAAAGTTCACTTCATTAATTTCCTAGATATGTTACAAAGCATCCAGATTTAATTAAACGATTCATCATAAAGGTTATAATCATGGTATGTAAATGATTTTTAATTATCTATGATTATCTATAATTATACAGATTCTATCAATATTTCTTGCCATACTGTAAATTTTGATCTCTCCGCATCATTATACTGTACATAAGTTTTCATTGAATCATAAATCCAATCTGAAATACAATTAATGCATAATACAAAAGTCTATATGCTGTAAATCAAAATAATACATCCAATACATAGTGAATAGCCTATCTTCGACTACCTAATAAATATTCATGTTGATGTTCACTCAAGCGTGAAGAAAGAAAATGAACAGCGACATTCATCAAGGTCTATCAAGTTATGCGATCGAATTGTTCGTAGTACGATAATGCATTTATACCATTATTTCAAGACTATATCCTATTTTTATCTGCTTTCTATAACGTAGCTGCTTATCATAAATCAGGGATACAGAATAAATGTTATATTAATAATACAAACACTGTCTTATTGTGAAAAAAAAAATCATCATTAAATCTTAACTATGCAATATTCATAGGTTCGTATAAAACTCACCCTTTATCTGTCCTATTACAGAAACCTGGTAAAAATTTCAAACATCAATCATTCTTGCTTTTATGCCTCAACACTAACGTATACGTTGCTAGCGTGAATCCTACGTAGTTGCTAGGTCTACTTTTTAAACTATAGAGGGCGCTCAATAAACAATTAATTATTTCTAGACTTAAAACAGATAAAGTGTAATGCATTCTCCGGGAGGCGATTTTTTTTTCCGTACGAAACATTTGCATGAAACTTCACTCGGGCCATCTCGGATTGACTCGACTGAGTTCGATACGAGGAACAAGAGCAGACACTTCGCAATGTCGTGACGCTAGAAAGTAATCAGTTTTGAAAGAGGGCGTCCTATCTGTTGCCATGGATCTGAGATTATTCCTGTTCTGCTGTTCACAGGATTGATACCCAAGGTAAAGTCGCGCGGTGTACGGTATGCGATTTTTTTTTCCGTACGAAACATTTGCATGAAACTTCACTCGGGCCATCTCGGATTGACTCGACTGAGTTCGATACGAGGAACAAGAGCAGACACTTCGCAATGTCGTGACTCTCGAGTTTTACTATTATTGCTCTTTCTATGTTTACCTACGGTAGGCCTATGATGATGAACCATGATGATATCTTAACGGAGTTATGGGATGTACGTGTGTAACTATTAACTGTGACCTTCTTGATGTTATTAAATGTTAGTATAATAATATCTACAACATCAGCTAGTAAACCCTTTTATAAAGTGTAGATAGGTACAGTAATACCAAAGGCCAGAGTGAAAGAGGATGCCTAACTATACAGGCTAGTGCTACATAGGCCCCTCCTTAAACTATTGGTTTAGGGCCCTAGGCATACACCAACAGTCACGCTTCACATACAGACGTTGACTGAAATTTTGAAAAAAAAAAATGGGAAAAATAATTGAAGCATGAAATAAAAATTAGAGTGCATAAGAGAAATATTATTAAATAAAATATACCATTCCGGTGTTATTGAACTTGGCCAAAGTACTATCATTGTAATGTAATTAATGTTAAATAATAATAATAAATAATAATAATAATAATAATAATAATAATTTCAGCATTAATTACCTTGGCCTAAGCCTTGTTGAAGAACCATACTATTTACTAGGCCTATAATTAATAACTAGCCAAAGGGGAATATCTTTTGTGTTATTTCCCCTTAACGTCAATTTTTAAATTGTTGTCTAATTCCTCCATTGTCTAAGTTCCCCTTAAATTAGGCCTACAGGTTGGTTTTAGTGACATAATAATAATTTATAATAATATAATCATTTCGGCATTACATGTAATTAATTTGGTCTAGCCTTGTAATCAAGAACCTGCAGATTCCTATGCCTGATATTAATAACTAGGCTTAGGCCTCATTTATACATTCATTGCGGTGCTCTGCCATTTTGGCAGGTCTTATGGCATCTATTTTAGAGCTGCCTATTCTCAGTTCTTCTCTTAATTTGAAAATAACTGTCACCCTGTTTCATTTGATGAAGAAACGCCCCGAGAAACGCGCTTTTCCTTACTCTCTCTGTGCTTTCCCCAGAAAGCGTATATTTTTAGTAGTTAGTATGCCTAGGTATGCAAAACCCAGACCTAAATAAAAATTGTCACAGTATGTAACTCAAGTTAAAATAACACCTTTCATTACTCGTGCACAGCTCAATCAAATATTATATGTCATTTTAAACGATCCATTAATATTCTGAGCACGGCAAAATCAATGTATTTTTAAAAATTAGACAGCGACATTCTCTCAGAAGTTGTTTTGTAGCCGTTTATCTTGTTGATGACCTTTTGACCTCCTGAATTCTGCAATACTTGTATGAGATTTTCGGGTCGATTCAGTCGAGACGGGCCCGAGTGGAGTTTCATGTAAATGTTTCGTACGGAAAAAAAATCGCCTCCGGGAGATGGAATGCGCACCGTCGAGTTTCGGCATTGGTCACGCATCGTCAGGAATTCATCGTCAGGAATTCCTGGCAATGGCATGAACAGTATTGAGCGCGGTGGCGTGTATTTCATTTCTTGGGATGCGTATTATAATTTCTTTTCGTTATTAGTTAAGTAAAAAATTTAAAACACTGATAAAGTATTAATTAGACAGTGTTAATTAATTAGTGTTAATTAGTTAAGTAAGAAACGTCTATAGCAAGACAAGTGTACTTATGTTATTATCAATCTTATATTGTTAATTATTGTTACACATCTCTTTAGCGATTATGCCTTTGTTACAAAAGAGAAACAATAAAAGTTATTAAGTTATGTTGCTAGCTTAACTAAGAGCTCTAGTATAATGAAGACGACAATAGACAGCCTTGTCGGACCCTAGACTGGGTTCCAGGGGCTGCATTTATCAAACTAGAAATCAGCTTAAGTTCATCTTAAGTACATTTTTTTGCTTAAGTCAAATTCATCACTATTGCCTTAACTTAAAAATTGCTTAAAATTAAAAATTCGATTGTACGCATGAACCATCTAAGACGATTTTAAGCTAAGATTTTGCTAAGATGGTTTGATAATTCAGCTAATTCAGCAAATTATATATTTGCTTAGGGACTTATAAACTTTTTTGAATTAATCCCGGGCCTATCCATAAACTTTGTCTTAATCAGTGAAAATGCTTAAAAATAAATCGATTTTGGCACCATTGGCGTGCATTATTGCTTATTTGCATGGCGTTCAATTGTATACTTTTTCTGGGATTAAATCAACAAACAACTAGAGTGCTGACAAGATGGCGGAGCAATGCAGAGTTGTGTATGTGTACCATCCAAGATGGCTGCCGTAGGAAAGCGCCACCTTCAGGCTTAGTATACATATTATTACCATAAATAAGCCCTCTGACTGAATATTATTTCATTAATGGTAATTAGCATTGATAATGACAAATTATTAAACTGTCGTAGCCAAAAAGAGGCCAAGTAGAGCATCTTATTCAAATATTAAAAAGAATTGAAATGGGTGTACATTACACCCATACACCGCAACGCTCGAGTTTCAAAATACGGGCAACTAGCTGCTGTACTGAACTTTCTGTGTAAATTGAGGGCGCCATTGAAAATGATAGTGCTCAGGCGAAATTTGATTGGCTGAATCTATGGCAGCCATCATGGATGGTACACACACACAGCTCTGCGTATTTCGAACATCGAATACATTGCTGTTAGCGCTCTAGTATTCTTATTATATCTCTATGGATTAAATTCGCATCAAAAAGTTTCTCGACATAAACTGACGCTGGTGGCGCTTTCCAAAATGTGCTAATATTACGAAAAATCAATAATTAGAGACTTGTGGCAAGTCTATTCGGACCCCTGTCCATGTGGTAAACCACTCTATGAATTCACACTGATTCTTACATACAGTGCTTTCAGATACAGCATAGCGGCTTTTATGATTCTGATAATTTTCTGTGAGTATCCGAATTTCAGAAACCCAAAAAGGGTTTTTGATAGTCAATGAAACAGCAGTAAAGAGTTTTATTCTATTTTCTATTTCTCTGCAATCTGTTTAAATAATTTATATACCGGTATTGATAGAAAAATATTTGATAGAGGGCGCAATAACTCTTTTTTCTGTTTTCGGAAAATTGGCTTGTGCCATCGTCTCCATTCTGGACCATCATTGTTCGTGAATTTCTTTACATTATCAAATCAAAATTAATGATTTAGTTGAACAAGGAAACATGTACTTACAAAGCAGAGTGAAAAAGTCGAGGGAAGCCACCTGAAGAACCCGTTGATAGCTCAGCTGATTGTAGTACACACTAACCTTCATTATGTTATTTCTGAGGACGAACAGAGGGTCAGAAACAAAAAAAAAAGACGATAAGTGACAATTACATTTCCATCATTCGTCACAGTCTTGTCAAGGGAATCGGTCAACACCAGTGCCGTAGCTGCAAGGTTGGTGCCAGTGGGCGCGGGGGGGGGGGTGCGCTACCACCCATCAGGGAAGAAAAGAATTACAATTCGTCGGGGAAAAAATAATATATGTAATATTTTAATATTATTAGACTCTAAAATATATCTAATAAGCCTTTGAAATCCCTGTTATAGTTTCCGGGTGATTCGCCCCTGGACACATTCCAAATAATTTTGAACGACGCACAACCACTAGAATAAATTTAAATATTTTCGAAAGTAGAATATTGGTTTGATGCCTTAAAAATAAGTTTACAAGAAGTATTTCATCTTTAACATTTAATAAGGCCTACTTATTCAATGTTCAAAAAAATTGTTAACTTACTGTACGTACTCCTCCGTGATTTTTGAGGTATTGTACTCCCGCGGTGGGAACGTTTTTATCTGGTACTTCATAAACCGGGGGTTGAGCCTGGCAGACGACAATGTAAGCGGATAGATCACTGAGGAACACGGAAGTCGACAATCACATTCGAAATCCGTGTGACCATACGTATAGTTATCTATTAGAAAAAATAATATTGTATATACTTTTTGTAATTTTGATTTATACGAGGGTAATTGGTAATTCATGTATTTCCACTTGCACATCGTTTAGTCATGAATGTCAATCAGGGGTGGCGCTAGGATTTTCCCGAAAAGGGGGGGGGGGGGGGGGGGGGGGGCGCGATGTCCTTGACGTGAGAAAAGCGGGTGTGGTCGGGCTCCACTCAAAATATTTCGAAAGCGGTCCAGGAGGCGAAGTCTCCGAAAATTTTTACAATTTAAGGGTTTCAAAGGCTTATTTAATCGATTTCAGAGTCTACTAATAGCCTCCGTACTTTTTGGAGGTATTGTACTCCGATGGGAGCGTTTGTAGCTGGTACTTCATAAACCGGGGATTGAGCCTGGCAGACGACAATGTAAGCGGATAGATCACTGAGGAACACGGAAGTCGACAATCACATTCGAAATCCGTGTGACCATACGTATAGTTATCTATTAGAAAAAATAATATTGTATATACTATTTGTAATTTTGATTTATACGAGGGTAATTGGTAATTCATGTATTTCCACTTGCACATCGTTTAGTCATGAATGTCAATCAGGGGTGGCGCTAGGATTTTCCCGAAAAGGGGGGGGGGGGGGGGGCGCGATGTCCTTGACGTGAGAAAAGTGGGTGTGGTCGGGCGCCACTCAAAATATTTCGAAAGCGGTCCAGGAGGCGAAGTCTCCGAAAATTTTTACAATTTAAGGGTTTCAAAGGCTTATTTAATCGATTTCAGAGTCTACTAATAGCCTAATATGTAGAAAATACATATACCGTACCCGACGAATGAGAGCATCTATCTTGTGTGTATGTTTGTCTTGTGAAAGGATTGTCATTTTGAGGAATGATTAAATTCAATTTTTAAATGTTTGGCATATTCTTGGCCCTTTTGCCTTAAGCTGAGTTAAAAAAAAAAGACCCTTGCCCAAAAATTACTTTTTGAAACTCACCTAGTTGTTGAACCGCGCATTCGTACTTTTCTATAGAGCAGACTGGAACAGTACCTCCTTTACTTGGTTGCTCTACAAGTCTACAGCCACACTTCTCGAAGACTGCCTCAGTTTCACATTCAATTCGGCAGCCTGAATAACTGTAGTGTTCGAAGTAGCCGTATTTCGTCACGCCAAGATCGTGACAAGTTCCAAATGGAGCCGGCAATGCAATTACCTGTTGTTGAAACAACATAAATTAAAGGCAACAAATGATAAGTATTGAGTTTGCTAAAGAAAATGCTATTCTTGTACATAGTGAGGCAGTAACGTAAAACAAACCCGGCGTCATCATTTTACCCTTAAACGTAATTTCCGATCTTCTCCAAGCCGAAAATGTTTGGTAATAGCGCCCGATTGCCGATCGTCGTGCGACGCATATCGCGTTGCGGACTGCCGATACCGACGCTTGCGCCCCCATCCCACCCGGCCTTGTGTCGTCGGTTCCCTCAATTAGCGTCCACACATTGCGTCTGCATCATCGTTGTGTTGCGCCAGTGGCAATCAAGCTGTGAAAAGAGGTGCATTACCTCTTCTCTAACGAAGCCTATCTGAGTGTGTGTCCCCGGCATGACCGTTTCTCCTTGTTCGTAGACGTATGGTGGTTCCGTGGCGTTGTGAAGCTGTACTTTCACTCCAACATCCGACGGCACCTGTGAACCTTCGCTTATTGGAGTGTAGTCAGCAGTATCAACATCTAAAGTTACCGTCAAACCATCGGCTAAAAAAGTAAAAATAAAGATGTTTGTGTTAATTAAAATTCACAGGAATCAACCACACATATTTTTTTTTTGTTTCAACTGTTGCATTGAGACGCCAAGTATTATAATCATTTACACCAGGGGCGTGTTGTTAACTTTTGAAGGGTGTCTTTTGCAAAAAAACATGGCCAAAGCACCCGACATGTTGCAATAAGTAATGTTACACGGTATGGTGTATCTGCCCATCTAAAGTAAAATGTTAAGAGGAGAAACTCGCTTAAAGTTTCTAAAGATGAAGATTGGAAACGTTTAGTCACTTTAGTTTCTCTTTAAATCGGCATATGCTGAGGAGCCCAATAAACCAAAGCGTTAATAATATTTTTACCAGAACGCCACCTTTTTAACAACCTAAATGAAGCAACAAATTTATAACTTTTGATAGCATTAGCATAAACTGAGGAGTCGTACTAAATCAGCGATTATTAGATGATTCGCCTTTAAATTGTTTTGTGAAACTCTCTTTATAAGTTATCATGGAACTGAATTTTAGTCCACATATGCATATGGGCCTATTCGTGTATAGTGCTGTTTTGAATATTATGTTAACTAGTATGTATATAGCGCATTTTCCTTGTGGTAGTACTAAGCACTTTGACGTACTCTTAATTCCCAAAAGGCGGGTAACATTGTGTCAATTTTGCAGTCAGTCGACGCACATAGGGCTACTCTTAGTCTGCAGCAGGGGCAGAAAAAGAACACCTAGGTAACTCTTTGTTCATGTCTTTAAAGTTCACTCGATTTAACTAGTGTACAAAGGGCATGTGGTTTATAATCCTACCATCCGTACCATGAGGGTCTCAAACCGAATGTAAGGCTCTGCGTTACATTACGGCGCCCCGACCAGTCGACTGGCTTGCAAAGTAGCTGTGTTTAGTGGTCGTATGATTAGTCTGTTAATATGGCAATACACAAATTTGACCATTCCATGCAAAATTAAGCCCAAGGTAGATTATTATGCGCACAGTTTGAAAATGTAAAAGTTAATGAGGTTTCTGAATGAAACTCATCCGTTTAACTTATTGACAATATGTTCAAGTTATAAAGTCAATTGTATACACGATGAGAATACTATGGCGACAAGTGATTGGTTCATATGACATTGTATCGTCTGCACGGCGTTTTGTGCGCAATGAAACATTACTATTACTGTACTATTAAACCATGTTATGTATGTAAAACTTGGTTTCCGTAAACCCGCTACACTGTCACTACATAATTTTACTTGAATCATTACAATGCGTAACTTTTCCCGAAGCACCCGATTCGACAAACCAATCAGCGTCGCAAAAAGCAGTCGGTGGTAGAATGTAGCAATTTTATGGAATCCAGCTTAAAATATATTTAAAAAAAAATACATTTGCGCAGGACGATAAGAGAACATATGGACATTAGCGCATGCGCAATAAAACAGATGGTGTACTTTTGACACATACTGTATGCGAATTCACAAACGCAAATAGCATCTCTCTTTGCAATAAGGTTGCATTTTGCAAGTTCGATCGAAACAGTGAATTGATTCTTGTCTATTCCGTATTGAGCGATATATCTGAATGTACCGTACGTATTCCAATGCATTATGGACGGTACCGTTTATATTACAAACAACTCAGAAATTCAAGCCCATGGCTAAATCATCGCGACCTGTGTCGTAACAGGATGACTTACCCGCACCAGCTCTCTTAGAATATTTTAATGACGAATCGTTCCTGTATTTATTGAATGTATAACAATTCCCAAGATGAGTGAACACGTGATCAAAATCTTGTTCTCCGCACTCTTCTCCATGAAAATTGCACTGAGTAGAAAGATAATAAAAACCGTGTATATTAAACGTACATAGATTAACTACAGAAAAGGTAGGCCTATCTTCGCTAGGCACGAGGATCAAATAAATTTATTTTTTTAATTTATTTATACTATTAATGGTTAGAATACTTGTTCAATGGTTTGACTTCACGTTTCCAAATTAAACATTAGGCCTACTAGCCATTAGACTCGTTTTAAATAGGCCTATATGGCGTACAAATGTCGGATAATGACAAAAGAAATGGCCACTACTGTTTTGTTACCATACCATATATTACTATAATACATAACCTTTTTAACTGGGGGATTTAAACCAGGTTACGGTTGTCGAAGCTACTTTAAGATAGCAGTCTGCAAGAACACGGTATATTTATTACTGTAAATAATGGACGTTACAGACGTTTTATGAAACGAGATACCTTGCAATCATGAGGGCGCGTTAGTGAAACAAACCATACAAACGCAATCGCAATATTAATAATAATAACAACAACTACAACTACAACAACAACAACAACAATAATAATAATAATAATAACATTATGTTTGTAATTTACTAGTATCTGTTACTGATCGTACAGCAGACAGTGGCTCAAATAACAACAACAACAATAATAATAATAATAATAATAATAATAATAATAATAATAATAATAACTAGACTTACTATGTCTGTTTGAACAACAGAACACAGGGCTTTTCCCCATTGCTTTAATGAGAAATGAAGTTGAAATTGCAACAAAAAGAAAAGTCGTTAAAAGTTATAAAGTTTAAAAAAACACGGAAAACCAATATAATTTTAATGAAGTAGAAATAAATGAAGTGGGGAAAAAAGCAAGTTCACTGTGACGTTATTAGTGAGACAACTATGGCTGCAATAGTAACAGCGAGGTACATCGTGACCCATAACCACTGCGCGCTATATGGGCCGACCTTGCATATGAAAGTGCATTTTCAGTTCTTAGCGATTCAATGACCGAAAGCAAAAATTGTTCATGTATATCACAGTAGTTTTGAGTTTAACCTAGCTGTAACTAGTTTAAGCACTTTAGAAAACGCAAATTGCGTTTAAATAATTTAATCAACTGTCAACAAAAAATCTTTAAATGGTCCTCATATCCACACCATACCGTACTGCGGATCGACACCAAAATTGGATCATTTCTTCATTTCACCATGAAACACTCTGTCATTTTTATCCATCTATAATGGGACGTAAGGAATTTAAATGACCCTTTAAATTTACACCCTAACCTGGATCGTTCCCTACACATAATAATATCTTCCCTTTAACTTGGGTTAAACTTTCCCGAAAGTTTTATTCGGATCAGTTGACCCGTTTTTTAAATATCTGGTCTGGGACGTTTTCCTTTAAATGGTCGTCATATTCACAACCTACGCAGGATCATCACAAAAATTCAGTCATTTCTTTACTGGACCTTTACAAAGTATTATAGAATGTTTCATTTAGACCCATTAGTTTTTTTTAAAGAGATATTTAGGTCTGGGTCCTCAAAAATTGAAAAGACCCTCAAATTGACACCCTTCACTGGATCGTCACTAACCCATATACATTTTTCCTTGTAACTTGATTAAACCTTTCCGTAAGTTTCATTTAGATCAATTGACCGGTTTTTTTAAATACCCGGTGTAGACTGTTTGACCTTAAATCACTTTAATTGGTCCTCACAAGCACACCCCACCATAGGTTGACACTAAATATTAGGAGGCGCATCCTTGATATATGGCCGAAGCAAGGAAAAACTCTAAGCATGGGAAGTGACCAAAGTGACGGCCAGAAAAATACAGTGTGCAAAAAGATAGGAAAAATATATGCAAGAAAAAAGGGGGAAAAAACAAAAAAAAATTATCAGAACAAAAACAATAATAATAAAACGATAATAATAATAATAATAACAACAACAATAACAATAATAGGCCTAATAATAATAATAATAATAATAATACTAATAATAATATAATAATAATAATAATAATA